TTCCTGAAAATAACAAAAATCGTTGCATGAACATAATAGTAAATAAATACCATCTATATTATAATTTATTGCAAATCAGAATGAAAGTATTGATAGTTCATTTGTGGATGACTTTAGAAACGTCACTCTTTTCGCGGAGTGACCAGATGATCCAAACGAGCCTTCGCAAGAGTCAAATATCCCATAATTGGCCGCGGAATTCCAAGGCTCGATTTAGAAGAATAAAGGAAAGAGCTACCCGTGTCCTGTAATCGGATCCATTGAAAATCAGCGGGGTTGTACTTGGAACAGAAGCGGAGGACGTGATTACATTACCCAGAAATCATTCGACAAATCGCCACCTCCGAGCTAGCCTGATCCGCCATCGGAAATGCGTCACAAGAAATGATAGACGAAAAGGCCCGCCGGTCTCCTCTTGGGCAGGTAGGGCGAAACACCGGGTGACGGTGAAACCCGCTGGGTGACTGCGACGGTGACAACGGTATACGTATACTTTCAGCCGGGAGACCATAAATTCGGGGTTGATCTAGCCAAAAGCCTAACAGAGAGGAGAGCAAAGAGAAACTGAGGATAACACCACATCGCAAAATTAAACGCTTGCGAGATACGCCATCATGAAGTGGACAGGGTCAATAGAAGTGAATTTCTCATCCTCATAACTGTTCTGCCCCAAACCAAAAGTTTCTGCACGCTGTAAAATGACCGAAATATTGTTCAGACCGTGAACATTGGGGCGACCTGAGCACCATTCCAGAGGCCAACATTTTACTTCAAATCTGTACCCAGACCATAACTATCAACCTGTTCCCACCCATGCACACCTTTGCTATTCAAATTAAGCCAAATGTGTAATACCCAGTTATACCAATTCTTGGTTGAATCTGACACACACTACCCGCAGCATTAATTATGCCCACCCAGGGAAAAATAATGTCACCCAAAACCCATGGGCATGGGCACCCAATGTTGCTCTGCACCATTCCGAACATGTTCAGCAGCAGCCTATGACGACGATCTATCAAATCTGAAATTTAGCGGCCTAATTTTTTCCACTGTTAAGTAAATAGAAGTGGTCTGAAGGAGTTTCATCCATCGATTGATCGTCCCTCGTTTCTGCTCTGCCGTCAGTTGTTGTACCGAACCGGGTTGATCCTATGCCTGAGAAGACTTTTTTCTGGCCATATCCAAGATCATGCTATGATCCCAGCACATAATGATGAGGTCCAAAAATCTGTCAGTAAACCTTCTCTTCACCGGAGACCCTGGAATACAGCGGAATCTTCTCTCTGAACCGGTGCACCTTCTGAAGCATTAACTTAAATATGATATTACTTCAATGATAACTCCAGATGGGAAGGGTCGGATGAACGACTGCTCTTGTCTCATATATGCATCTGACCATGGACCACAGGAATGTAGAAATCTCTTGTTTCGAAGCTTCTGTACGAAGAAATGGCCGAAGCTCAAGGTGAATAAGTGGAGTGAGCACTTTTTGTCAGTTGTGGAGAGGAATTCCATCGCCAGAGTTGCCCCCAAGCCGTGAGAACATGTGCGTGAACTTGTCAATTCGAGTGTCATGTCCTCAAGCGATATTGATTTCTTCGTTTGCAAGTTTGACGAGCGGACAGCATCGACGCGTCATTACCGCGTGGAGACGAACACCTTTCTCACACGACCACGCTCTAATCTCCCACCATGAAAAATTCCGTTACCGAGCCCACCACCCATGTCTCCCGGGATGATTCTAGGAAATCCGAATGCGATTCTCCATTTACAGAACTTGAGAACCCCAAACTCAGTCGGTTCAATAATCTGAACACGGGAGACGATTTGATGACTGGGCTGGCTACAGGCTTTTGTCCTTTGTTTGAAGATATGGATCCTGAATTTCCGCTCTGGTTTCTTCAGAACGTAGTCACCACAAGTATGCTTTAGCTTCGACGCGGGACTGTAGCTAATACAGAGGACATCAAGCTTGTGATCTCACTGGAGTGGAAACTGTACATCTCGCTGTAGATTTCTTGCAAGAGTTGTAATGTTTTCCCCCGAGATTGGGAGCAATCAGGCAGAGGGATCCCCAAGTTCCAAGGCAAGGTTTTTTTTTAATTGTTTGTGATGCTCCCTATCCAATCCGAGAGAAGGAGTCGATAATTGTTGTTGTTGAATATCTCATGTGACATCTGGGTCTCGATCGGACCACCAGCAGTTTGCAACAAGAATGTAACAGAAACGGAGAGAAGTGGACTGAAAAGAAAAGAGCAGACAGTTGAATGAATCTCAATTATCCACACATTTTATAACTAGATGTGCTCAATCTGAGGGCGGGAGTTGTCCTTCCGATCATGACGTTCAAAAACCATTGGACTTATTCGCAACACTTACGATTCAGTGATGTACATCCGAAGAGGGCAAGGAAGTGGGAGCACAGCTCCACCACTGAAAAAACGTGGCGTGTAATCTTGGTGTTCTGTTGGTGGATCTTGCGACGGACATCGTACACGATGCAGACAGAGTGCAAGAAAGAGAGCTATCATTGCCCACTATCTGGACAGAACATAGAGGTATCATAATTCGTGATTTCCAGGACTAACTGCTCGCAGATGGGAAGACCCCATCAACTAGTACAAGGATGAAACCAAACGGGTACACCATGGGGCCAGGACCCAATAGCGATACAATGGGGAAGATATCCTGCTCCACCCAAGATATTTACCACGAATCGGGGATCTCTCTCTCCTCTGGCGCAACACACAGTACGGTGAGCCTACAACTGATCAACCACGTCTTCTCCACGTCGATAAATAGATGAATTCACTGACTCGGACGTTGCTTGAAAGACAACGCTTGGCTCCACACAAGGATGATGTCATTCACGTACACGGTAAGAAGTTCTGAGCAACAGTGGTGGATGAAATTCAAGGGAGTGCCAGTTGTAGCATCCTTACAAGGTACAGGGAGTAATACACGAAAGCATCAGAAAGAGCATGGTGTGCTGCTAGAGGTGGCATTAAGAGGCCAGGACTGAACAGGAGCCGGCCGCTTCTTCTGGAGATGCTGGAATGGAATTATAATCAGGGGAACGAGGCTGCGAAAGTGTAGTAGGAGAGTGTGGTAGTAGCACGAAGCTGCTCAGGGACTGGTCCAATCAGAATGGTCAACTAGTAAATTCGTACATTGAATTTTGCACATAATGTAATATGGACCTGACCATGATTCTTTGTTATTCACATTAAAGAATGCCTCTCAAATTCGGAGAGAGAGAAGAGAGAGTTGGGAGAAGACAAGGTCACAATATTGGTTGACATAAGTGTTGGACATGAGTTTGACTGAGTGTAGATTTTGATTTGATCCCCCACATTTGGTGGTGGATAGTCCTCGGGAAAGGTTCAAAATGTCTTGGACTTGGTCTTCGCATCTGCGCGACTTCTGAGCACAAGGTTTGCTCAAAAGAGATGTGAGCAGCTTCCGTGCGCCCATCATCTCGAAGACTGACAGATTTACACTTCTTTCCTTCAAAGTTTTGACATCTTCCCAAATGCTTCAAGGAGAGGAGACTCGCATTAGTCGGCGTACAAGGCGTAAGCTATTGATTTGAAGTGTGATGAAGATTCTAGATTCAACGAATTCATGGGTAAAGAGCAAAATCTAAAACTGCAGTCTGTAAGGGAGAATTCCCAACCTGTTCGCAGTGGAGATCGAGTAATGACGTCCAAGTTTCGAGGAGCAGGAGGACTAAAGTGCCTCAACTGAGCTGGGCAGAATCTTAGGCAGGAATTGACGTGATACCAGAATCTTCTATATTAAACGTCCAGCTGCCTGTGGTTCTGGGGATAGCAGACGTACTCGGAGGTGTTCACTGTTGGAGGGGCTGAAAGGAAATGGACTGGCTGTCAAAGACCTACATACATGAACCACAGGATATTTCTCTAGTACATTCCGCAGCTCATCCATCTTTGACATCAATTTCTGAGGATGTCAATGCTTCACATTCGATACTCTTCCACCTTGTTTGGGCACGGAAAGTTGAATTGTTCCTCAGACAGATGCTCCCTGCAGGATCCTTAAAAAAGGAAACCCTTGTCCTCAAACAATGTAGACAGCAGCCGGTTGCAAAGAAGACCAGAAAGTTATCGGAGATTCCATTGATACACATGTATTTTCCTGCACAAGAACAAAGTGAATAAACGTCGACTTGGGCCACAGTAAGAAGAGGAAGGTGGGCATTTCTTTGCTTCGGATGTAAAGACCTCGATGCAGAATTTGGATCCATACATCCTTCTTCTTACTGGGCGCTCTTGAAGACTGCACCGAATGGTCTCAGATCAATCAGTGATGCGTCTCTGCGTCGCAGTCAACGTGGCTGCAGAAGGAAGCAAGGAGTGAGAATCTGATGAACCTCGTCCAGATTAAGGCCAACTATCCATCCCCAAGCGGTACAAACATCTGGACAGCGCAGCCCAGTCAGTCACTAGCAGTGCAGCAGCAGCCACCCTTACTGTAGAACGATGGCAAACCCACGTCGGGAGGAAGCTGGAGAAAACAGTTCGGTCCAGGTGCCTCCTGCTCTGTTCTCTCCCTTGGAAAGTTTGGTACCCCATCCTCCACAATGCGTGCGTGCGTGGGAGCAATCAAGCTGTTGACTCCCCTCTCCTCTCCCCCTCTTCCTTCTCCGGTCACATCTCGCGGCAGCTGCAGCTGCACCTGCTCTACAAAGCTCTCGTGGAGAATACATGCAGCGCTAATCATGGGGCCTGCATGGAGGGAGGGAGGGAAGGAGGGAAGGAGGAGAATTATGGAGCAGGACTCAGAAGCCAGCGGAAGGCAATAGTAGCAGAGCATATCAGATTAGAGGGGAGAGCCGCCAGCACAGAGAGAGAGAGAGAGAACAGAGCAGAGAACAAGGGCAAGGGCATGGTGGAGGAGAAGAGACCGAGCTCATGACCGCGGCGGGGAGGGAGAGCAGCAGGAAGGGGGCACGGTCATGGCCGCCTTGAGCGCACAGCGCTTGTCGTCGTACGCGGGCCAGTGACACCAACACCAAAACCAACACCAACACCGGAATCAGAATAAGAAGAAGCAGTCGCAGTTGTCGTGCCTGTGCCTGTGGCCGCTCTGATCAATCGGGCAGGCGTGGACCTACAAGACCCTTGCCCTCCCCTGCCCCTCCCTTGCGATGGATGCTGCAGCAGCAACTGCAGCGGGAGTCGTAGTAGTCGTCGTAGCAGCAGCAGCAGCGGCGGTAAAAGTATAATTGCTCTGCGTTGAGCAAGAGCTGGATCGGCGACGATTTGACCGCGACAGACAAGGCCAGACACGCGCGAAGGAAGGGAGGGCGGGCGGGATTGACCGGGCTTCCGTCTTCGTAGCCCGTGCGGAGGAGGAGGAGGAGGAGGAGGAGGAGAGCCAGGCCTCGGGGCCCTTCGTCTGCCGACAATCTACGGTACGCGTTCCATTCCAGAATCGAGAACGCAGATTTCCGCTGGCTCCATTTCCGCGCCGGGCGTTTCATGGGGTCGTTCTTTCAGCTGGTGGTGGTGACAGTGGAGGCGGGGCACGTGGTGGTGGTGGTTGGTTTCCGACTCAGTGCTCGCGCAGCTCGCTGACTCACTGACTGACTCACTGGCTGGCTGTCTGGCTGCGCGGGCCGATTTGTGGATGTGGGCGATTTCAATTTCCTGGTTTCTGCTCTGGTGCTGGGGTGGGAATTGGTGCATTCACGCGGGCGGGCGAGTGAGGGAGACGTGGGTGGTGCTAGCTGCAGGCGAGGTTTGCTTTTCGAAGTGGGGGACGATGGGATTTACATGAATTTCGTGTTGTGTGTGGGTTGGAATTTGGATGTCAATTCGGGAAGGTTACAGGATCCGATTAGGATCGTTCAAGAAGCAGCAGCAGCAGCAGCAGCAGCAGCAGCAGGTAGCTCAAGCGCAAGAGGAGCTCAGATCCAGTAGTCCTAGGGTTTTGGAGCCCCTCTGTTCTGCCTCTTCCCACATGGCGTCCCGGAGGTGAGCTCCTCTGTCCGGTCATGGAAGTCAGATCTAGTGAGCCTGTCATCTCTGGATGGCGGCAGGCAAGTGGATGTTTTCTTGTGGACCTTTTAAGTCTCAGATGGGGCGCGATGATTTTTGTGAAATTTGAATCCTGCTCGAATCATTCGGGATCTGTGCTGGGCACCTCTGGTGATTTTTCCAGTTTCTGACTGTCGCTTTCCTCTGCAGCGGGTCTCCGAAGAAACGAAACGAGACTTTGAGACTGATAGTAATTACTTTCTGCGGCGTTGCTCTAGGCTTTTTCATCGGTATCTTCTTTACAAGGGTAATTCTTGTGACGCATTCGGCCGTAGTTTCGGGCTTAAACCCAGTCTTTGAGCTTTAGAATTCCCCATGACGAGTCTCTATCTCAAACCTGCGTGGTCGATTGTCGTTGTCAGCAGATTAATTTTGGTGAATTTGCGTTGGTTTGAAGCTCACTGATTCGCGTGTCCTGCCTTTGGTGCTCTATTGCGGTGCAGTTTGGATTGACTTATAGACTTGGGAATGACTTCTTGAGGGCTCAAGACATTCAGTTAAATGACCCTGCGGCCTCTTCTCCTTCTCGCCACCCACGAGGAACGGAAGGCCTTCCTTTGGGAATTATCGTCCCAGAGACAGATCTGTATCAGCGAAGATTATGGGGAAATCCTTCTGAGGTACGCTCTGCAATTGTTGCAATTGTCTTTTCTATCTGCTAGTGTTTGGTCTCGGACGTGATAGGGATTTACTGCTGCCATGGTTCGTGGACGGATTTTGATCACGCGACTTAGTCCGGATCTGGATTCAGAAAATGAAGCGAAATAACGGAGCTGGCAGCGGAACAGAACGGAGTTGCTCAAATCTTTTCAGCACGATACCCAGTGTTTAGGGAACCTCAGAGACGGAAATCTTTCATCACTTCGTCCATATCGTACCGAATGGAGGAAGTGATGGATGAGAACATTGATGGTGCAAGTCGTGCGGGCATGAGTTTCTGTATGTTTGAGGTTAAGGCGAATTAGGTGGACATATATCCCTGTCGAACCGAAGTGGTAGCAGAGGAGGTTTGAAGTTATAAGATCACGGTTACATCCAGTCGCAGGATGGGGGAATTCCGGAGTGCATGTGCTTGTAGAGTTGGTATATGTTTGGAGGGTCATCTGGGTGCCCCCAACTCCTCTTCTGGAAGATTCACATGCCTCTGGGGGGAGTTTGTGAGTACGTGCGTTGAAGCTACACGAGGATGTAGCTTCAACTCACGAGCCCACGAATTCTGTAGAAGATGTGGATAACATAAGCATACACATCCAAATGATCAACAAAGTCCTCTGCACTTCCAAAAAGAGTTTCTTGTTTGTCATTTTCCAGTGGTATCGAAAGGTGAAATTTTAAAAGTGGTCATTTTTGCAGGACTTGCCGTCTTCGCCATCTAAGTACCTTGTAACTTTCACTGTTGGTATCAAGCAGAAGGAAATCGTGAACAAGGCAGTTGCAAAGGTGAGTAAACGTTGCAGGTAGTCTCAGTTCTAGTAATCTTTTCCTGTGTTTCAGTTTTAGAGGCGGGTCATACCGTCACGTTCGATCAAAAGCAACTGTAAGGCTCGCTAACACGCAATTGTGACATGTTTGTGTCTGGCTGCCAACCTCAGTTTCCCAAGGAGTGGACAATCTTGCTTTTTCATTACGATGGTGTCACTGATGATTGGGATGACCTCGAGTGGTCCAAGACTGCCATTCACATTAGTGCTAAGAAACAAACTAAGTGGTAAGTAGAGGCGCTTACTTGTGTCGAACACTATTTGGCTCTTGTAAGTAGTGGTTTCCAGCTGGTGACAAGTCAGAGCCTCCATACGAAGGTTTGTTAGTATGGAGAAACGCTATATTAGAGGTTCAAGTATATAATGATGGAGTATGAGCGTGGTGAACGAGTTATTTTATAAACGAGAGCACCAGCACGTTACTATTACGTATGATGAATTTGGTCCTTATACTTATTGGTCCTAATACTCAGGTGGTACGCCAAGCGATTTTTGCACCCTGATGTCGTTGCTCCATACGATTACATTTTCATTTGGGACGAGGACCTGGATGTCGAAAACTTTGATGGAGAAAAGTAAGGCTTCATGAACATCAGAAAATCACGCAACCTTGAACATGATTTGAATGTGATTTGACAATCTGTATGCAATGCATGTTTTGAAGCACTAGAGAGGATATATATTCTCGTTGCCACAGATGCCATGACAAATTCTGGTACATTTATCTGGCGATCTTTTTAGCTGATGACGTAATGACACTGACGTTTTTGCTTCAGGTATATCCATCTTGTGAGAAAGTACGGTCTGGAGATATCTCAACCAGCACTCGAACCTGACAAGGGATTGACATGGCAGATGACAAAGCGCAGGGGTGATGTAGAAGTGCACAAGTAAGTTGCTGTTCATTCGACCTATCTGTGTTGGCTCGTATTGACGAGGATACCGAAATCTTTGAAAATTCCCCAAGCAAACTGAACTGTCCCATTCTTTACAAGGTGGAGAACAACTATGAGTATCAAAACTGGAAGCCCCTCTGACGTTAGTGTCCATCCTTTTCTGTTACCAGGACAACAGAGGAGCGGCCGGGTTGGTGCACTAATCCTCTTCTTCCACCGTGCGCCGGGTGAGTACCTCAGATTGACGTCAGCCGTAATTCATTTCTAGCTTGCAAGGTTTTTGGATCGGTGACTGTAAGAACACACATACTACGTACCTGGTAAAATTATCTGCTCATTGGTTATGGTGCAATGTGTGGAATTTCTTATGGAATCTCGTTGCCCATGAGATAATTTTTTATCAGCCTGCGATGCCATATTTCTGTACTCTTACTCTTTGGAAAATAAAATTGGGATACGCAGATTTGTGGAGATTATGGCCCCGGTATTTTCTAAGAAAGCTTGGCGATGTGTGTGGCACATGATTCAGGTGCGTCTGATGCCCCACATCTTCGTGCCAGTCGTATGTAGTGTTATTTCTGTTCGAAAGTAAGCCTGATCAACTAATACACAGACGAGACAACTGAGGAGCTTTGTAGTGCTTAACCAGATCTACCACATGCAATCGTTAGGCCTCACCCTCACGTATTTCCTGGAAAAGTCGAATAACGAAATAATTCCTGCAAGTGTTTTTTAGCTCGAACTCGAGTATCTGACCCTCTCCTTGAATATGATAAACTTTCCACAACTTTCTGGAGACGTGATCAGTTTGCGGATGGTCTTGCAGAATGATCTTGTTCATGGGTGGGGCTTAGACTTCAGTATGCGGAGGTGTGTAGAGGTAAGAAACGTATCCCAGCTTGTCCTCACTCTCGTACAATCCCTCTTTTGTAGTTTTCATCGTTACTCTCCTCCTTTTATCTGAGTCAGATAACCTCATTTGCAGCTTCAGCATGTTTTGCGACGTCTTGGTTTTTTCTTCAAAAATATTTGACACAGTAATAAGTTTGTTTTACTTGCAGCCTGCGCATGAAAAGATTGGAGTCGTTGACTCGCAATATATCAAGCATCAGGTCGTACCATCTCTAGGACAACAGGTAAGTTGGAGACTCCATTACTGGGCCTCTATGAACTTGGGGTCGTCTTCCTCATATTGAACCTCAGATGCTCCTTCTGCTTTGGGGATTGATATTGATACTCTAATATAGAAGATATATTTTTTTTGTCAGTGATTGTTCGACCTTTGCGATTCGGGATGTTCTTCCTAACCCGTCCTCTTTCGATTGCAGGGAGAAGCCTCGGATGGAAAACAGCCATGGGAAGGGGTAAGACTTGTGTAACTTATACCCTTTCCAGTTGTTATTGGGAGTATGCTTCAGTTGCGGTTTATCACATCTGATCTGCATAATTACGTCTTAATTTCGCTATCACTGCAAATGATGACCGAACTGAACATGAACTAATCGGTGGGGTGACTACACAGGTTCGCGAGAGGTGCAGGTTCGAGTGGAAGATATTCTCAGATCGAATCGAAGCGGCAGAGGCGCACGGGGCAGTGAGTTCTCTGCCTACAGAACCATTGTAGATACACCGGAGTTGAGTGCCACTTCACAATTAGATGTAGATGCTTATTTTTTGTTGCGCTACTCACTGCAGGGCAGTCAGGTATCCAAACAGCTGCCAGAGGTTGTGATTATCAGCTAATTTAGGAAAAGTTGTATCACAAAACTGGTATTAGTCATAGAAGAAAAATCTGGATATCTCAAAAAGTCCGGTTGGTGTCCACTCCGTCACCTTTATACGGGCCATTGTAGTTTTGATGAGTGACGAGTGAACATCCATTAGAAGAAAGGAATGCAGTTCCGTTTAAGATATAGGAAAGGCCGGCCCCAGTTTTTGCCCATGTATTCAATACTTAGAGAAAAAAGTTACAAGTAGAGGTCGTGATCAGGATGTTGAAATTGATGGGTGACAATCCCTGTCAGCCCTCGGGGACTCACTTGAGTGTGACTTAGACGCAGAGACCATGACACAAGGGCTAAAGAATATCACTCTACACACCATCTCGCAATTTCAGATGGCATTGCTTTCAATTTGATAGATTGTACTTTTCAACTGCTGGTTGCGCTCATCTGTAGTGACTTGTAATGGCCCTAAGTATGCTATCTCAGCGATGGGGGTTCTCTCACTTCGGATTGCGTTTGTCTCCTAACAGCCGGGGAGCGGTTGTCACATTTTTTCTTTTCAAGGGAGTCAACATATTGCTCCAGGAAACAGCAGTTAAGGCCAGTCAACTAGTTGGGATATAACATTACAATCACATATGCGACTCTGGGCCCCACTGAGAGAAAAAGGAACCCGAACTTCATTTTCTCGAGTGTTATGAATTTCGAGGAAACTAACCTCTTCGGAATAACTGAAGAATATGTTCACGGAATTGAAAACTTGCTACATTTCCTCTTTCATTTCCAAGTTGGGTCTTCGTGGAAACCTAACTTCAATCATGTGGGAAGCGGCCGACATAAAAGAGAACGGGTGGCTCGAAATCCGTTGGTTCAAAGGGTGAAAAATTGGTGGAGGTTTCTCAACGAAGGTGTCAACGTTTGCTGTTAGTGAACAAAGCTTTCTATTCAGATAACTGAAGCCCTTTAATTGGGCCCACTTAAAGTACTGTCGTGGAATAAGAGAACAGTTCACGCGATAACCAAAGTCTCTGCAACGACATGCACTCAATGTGCTCTTGGAGACTGCACGCATGCCCACCGGTACCATACGACAGCCTTGAAAGCATAGTCAACTCTCAGATTGAAGAGTGACCCTACTGCTGTGGAGGACGTCGAACATGCGCTCGAAAATCTCACCAAATTATTCTTGATTGGGACATGTAACTGCAGTGACAGTCAAACGGTTTAACAAAGGGAGTTCGGCAGGCACAGTTTATCGCTGAGACTGTTCTCATCGTCGCATAAAACATGCAAGTTTGATGTCGCCATGTCCAAGTCTTGGCAGTTGGAAATGCCGTTCCACTAACCGACGTTCCATGAATGCTGATGGGAAGAAACTCTGCATAACACATAAAATCCTAAGTTTCAATCCCGGAGTTTCAGCAGTGATCATTCTCCCTCTGCTCCACAATGATAATTCCCAACCCGAGGTAACTTTCGTTCCAGAATGGTTGTTTGTTCCTTGGCACGTATTCGGAGTGCAATACAGCTTTATCGGCCTGTACAGATGCAGATTTGCACTCAAACGATTCGTAACTCCTCCCTCAAGACGGAGCTCAGCTTTGTATCATTTCCTCCTTCGACATTCATATAGGATACAGCGCCATCTGGAACGAGATTGATAGCTTTTCAACCGGTCGACGTTTGACAGTGGAAAAGCTAGACAATGTATCTCTATCTCCTCCTTCATGGATCTCTAGAACTCGCATGATTCACCAGGAAAATGCTCTTAAAACCAGCCGATGATATTCGTGCCTAACAAAATTTCTGTGCATACAAAATTCGCCGTACAAAATTTCATGTCGTCGATGTGGAGTCACCTATATAAAAGCTGGAACCAATTTGAACTCTTAGTTCATTTCAAGAGAGCAAAACTCAGCCGTTTGTGCGTATTCTCGTGAGTACGAGCAGAGTTCAGAGTGTTACGTATTTGTTTGATCTGTCTTTCTTTAACGAGTCTGAACATGGACGTTACTGGAGCTTCAACAAGGAGAGTGTTCCTGACATTGGTCCTTCAATGTAGCGGGACTTCGTTCATAATCTATGGAGGGGAGCTCGATCTGTTCGACATCCCTTCCAGAACCCTTCCGGAATCTCTTGCAATCCTAGAGCTATCATCTGGACACACCTTGCTCCAAACTTCTGGAGACATTCTTGGGGAAAAAGTGAAATTTCAGAGATTTGATAATCCAGTTAGGATCTGAACTTCAAACGTCCCTTTTCCAACTTTTTGTCTCTGAATGACTCAGAACGCGATGCTGCATCTCCTCGATGCTGATTCCGGATGGTTTGCAGTGCACAGTTTCGAATCGCACATCGACAAGTCTGGTGGTGCACTTCCTATCATCTGCCTTCCCAGTCCGGGTGTGGAGACCAACTTACAAGTGTTGAGTTTGAGGTTCCACCATGGAGCTAGTACCGCCAACACAACCGACCAACACAACTTCGTGATCCGGGAAGGTTCATACACAGAAGTCAAGCATGAAGTACAGGCCTAGTGCATATTAGTATCGCCAACAACTCACGCGGAAACACTGGTTTCCGCGTCCCAGGCTACTATCTGAACTCCAAAAGGAACGGGAGACTACCAAGTGTGTATCTGTGAGACAAGTTCAAGCGAGTTTGCAACAAACCTTCCGTAGGCTTGCTGATTGTGTCTATCAGTGCAGAGCATGGACTCAGATTTAGGTAGTTGACTTACCTTCAGTACACTTCTTAGTCAATATTTCTCTGATTTACAAAGTACGAATTTTTACAGTTCTCAGGTTGTCTGAGCTTTGAGAAGTTGATACAATTGTGTACAACAGAATCCAATCGGAGAATGATCTACAACTCGTCGTCTGCCATCATTCATTCCTCGGACGACTACTTGGAGGGCTCCTGGAAGTGTGATCATCGGCTCCCTATACAACTGATCTATTCTTGTTTCTTCCGATCTGCAATGATACTTCTTCGACTAAGAGTGCCACTGAACTTGCAGTCCCTTCCACTCGTCTTTGGAGTTGAGTGTTTCATCTAGAGCGGCTCGCCTTCGGATGATTAGAGGGGACTCATAAACCTCGGTTTCTGATCGGCTGACTGTCTTTATTTTTGCTGCCGCGGCTTTCCATCTCCATTCAAACTGACAAGCTGCGAAGTAGAAAGCAAGCACCAATCGACATGGGATAATCAGTACTGTGCATAAATCAATCTAGAACAAACAAAAAAAGTTAGGGAAGATTGTACTTTAAACCCATCCATGGCAACATGAGTCAATATGGATAAAAACATGACTATCATAAATGATGTCAATTGTATTGAGCGCGTTCTAACAGCAGTAACCACTGGAGATGATAAAGGTTCATCAAAAAAGTCAAGTGATCTACATCTCCAAACTGTAGATTGATATGAAAGTCTGAAACACCCATGATTTTGGACGAGATCTTCACATCAGAACTTCAACCAGCACTTACTCTAGATATGCGTGCCTCCACAATTGCGCTAGAAGTCTTTCCACTTAAGAAAAAAAATCAAGAATATCAAGAAGTGTACTCACGAACTGACTGATTGAAAGAAGTAAAATTGTGGGCGTTTACCTTCACTGCGAGTTCCAAATCCACGCACAGTACACACAAGACTCCAGGGTCTTCCAGTACGAGCAGCTTTAGCTCCACCTGCAATCTCCCCGTTGTGCTGCCTCAGTCTGCAAAATTACCATCATATAAGCTTTGAACAAAATCATGAACAGGTTGAACGTATTCCATACACACAAAGATCCTTCATTTCCAATCAGTCGTCCATCACTTTTAGGTCAAATCACTGATCGAACTTCTTCTCTGTTTCCGTCTGATGGTATTTGAGAAAAAACAACGAGCTAAATATAACAGCTCTCCCCAAAAAAGTATCAGTCGTTACTTTCTCTCTAGGCGGATCTCAATTTTGAAGCTTTCTACAAGGCTTCAAAATTGCCAAGAAAGGCCATGTACATGCCTGCAGTTGAAAACATACTGTGATCGTACAAAGTTTCTTTTGAAATTGATGAAGGAGTCAGAGAAACGCAACTAACCTCCTCCTGATATCGTAAGTGACTCCAACGTAAGTTTTGTGAGAATCCGAGGAAAGCAACAGATAGGCACACCAATCTTCAATTACACCAGATTCTTCCTTCAGAGTGGGATGGTTCACCTCCAGCTCTGTCGCCTTCCTCTTTCTAAAAGCGATTTCCTTCGTCCCCTTGCAATCCATAGGTGGCACGGCCGATATAGAGACGGTGTTGTTGGCAGTGAAATCATAGTCAGCTTCATCCACTCCGTACCGCTGCAGTTCATCATACAATGGCTTCTGATTCAAATTCGTCTGCTCATCAATACTAGCAATCGTGCTCACAGCATTCACCGAACACCTATCTCCTGTTCTTCCTGCACTCCGAGACCCTTCTCTGTCTCCGCCACCGCCCACTCGACCAGCGCTGCTGTTGCAAACCCTTCCAACCATGCACGAGGAGGCCCGATTCGCAACGAAAGACGAATGCCTCGAGCTGATCCTAACGACGGCCCGCGGCTTCAAACAGAAGCAGCCAGCCATAAATCGCCCCAGCTGCTGCTGTTGATGCGGAACGGTGCTCTGCCATAGCACCAACCGGCTGGCGTGCAGCATTCCTTCTGCGCGTCGAACAATCTCCCGCCTCCTCTACAATCGCTCATACATGGCGCGTCGTCCAGTCCTGCTCGCCCCTCGCAATCCCTCCCTGCGTCTGTCGCCCTGTCCTCGTCGTGGCGCCTGGCTCAAAGATGCTTTGTTCGGCAGAGGCCGCAGAACTGCCTCTCATCGAGAATATGCAGAAAGCAAGATTTGGGTCGAGGCAGAGGAGGGCCAGAAACTCGCATTCGGCCGGACGTGCGCTCGCTATCGCTCGCTCTCGTCAGCGGGCGCCCTCGCGAGCCTCCCCCACGAGACGCAAGGCGAGAGATATCCCGCGGCGCCTTGCGCTGGGGCTCCGTGACGAGGCGTGTGCCGGACGACAATCCACGTGTCCCGGCGCCAACGTCGCGGGCGGGTCGGCGATCTGCCGGGTTTCCATCCTGGGCCGTGCGCGGAAACCCGGCAGATCCCGGCCCGGCAGAAACCCGGCAGACCCGGCGGAAACCGCCGCTGTGGGGCCCGCGAGAGCGCTAAACAGGAGTGAAAAAAACTCGATATTGTTCTCAGGATCAATCGAGTTTCCGGTTTAATAAAATTTAACCCGATTTTTTCTGATAAAAACCCAAGTTTTTTGTATTGGTATCTAATAGATATCAACGCCGAGCATATAATAATATTGATGATATTTGATTATAATTGAAATAAAATTTGATTTTTGTGGCCTCAGAGATATCAGGTTTTTTGTTTTACTAAAATCCAATTGAAAAAAACCGCGCAAAACCCAGGGCCTAAAAAATTCCGTTTTTCATAGCAAGTAATTTTGAGTTAACTAAAAAATATGATTTCAATAATGATGTTAATTAAATGTATTAGACCACTAGAGGGGTTGAAAACTAGATTTTATCAAAATGATTTCGGGTTATTTTTAAATTTTTAACCTTAATGATAATTTTATTCAGTTGTATTAGTTTATTAGCAGGGGTGGAAAAACCCGATTGTATAAAAACGATTTCGGATTAATTTTTAAAAATCATATCAATAATATTAATCAATTACATTAGAAGCCTTCTAATTCGAGTTTTTTTCACCTTCTAGTAGAATGTGAAAAAAACTCGAATTCTTATAAATAATAATTTAAAGTTACTTAAAAAAATTCATTTTAACAATATTTGTATTCAATCATATCAATACCTAATTAATAAATAACAATGTAATGCTTTAAATTTCATATTAAAACCCCGATTTTATAACAAGAAATAATTGCAGGTTTAAAAAAACATTTGTAAACCTTATGGTGCCAGGCCTTGGCTAAACCGGGTTTAGCCAAGGTTGTCGGGGTGGGGGTTTAGTAAACCCCCACCCCGACGAGTTACGTCGAGAGCGATCGCAGGAGCCAAGTCTCGTCGATTCCCGGACTCGACGATCAGTCGGTCGATCCGATTTGCCGAAATGGTGGAGTTTCTCGATGTGCTGACGCCCGAGGGCCTTCACACCGGCCTCTCCAAGGACAGGTACGGCCGAGCATGCGCTTCTTGACAATTCTCTTGCGATTGTGGCTGCAATTCTGGATTCGGTGCAAGTTGTTCCGGGAGGTTGATCATCCCCTTCGCTCGCTCTCTCGTCCGAGAGTGATGGAGGTCATCGCATGAATTGGCCTCTGCGATTTATAGACTGGCTGCCTCATCGTCGTTTTCGGATGGAAAGCGCCGGTTTCGATCGAGAGGAGGATGTTGGCAGCTCGGTTGTGACCCGCCTCGTCTGGTGATCAGTGGGTGGATCAGCTTCTTTGAGAGAAAGTGTATTGGATTTCAGAATTATTCGCCCAATTGCAGGAAAAGTGTCTGCATTGTCTACTGCTCAAAGTGCTGGTCTGCGAGCAGCTTTTGAAGTCCATATCTCGTACTGAACCTCTCTTCGGATCCGGAAAACCATCGCCAGTCGGCGTTCGTCACGCGTTATTGCGCTGGAATTTATGGTTTCAGGGATTGGATTGGGGTTGGAAATTGACGCAAGCCTGCGCCACACCTTTGAGTTTGAAAATCGGTTTTCGTCGGTTTTGAACATCCAGTTATCGCTCAGAGAGTGCACGGAGAAGAGACAAGGATTTCGTATGCACGAACCATGGACGTGTTCCATCAACATGGGCCAAAATGTTGCGTCTCCGGACGATGCTTTGTCCATCAGTATGATGGAGTTTTGACTTTTGCCCAGGGCAAGGCCTTTGTGCTTTCCACCTGAGGCAAGGCTCATGACGGGCAATGGAGGGGTGGAAGTATATTGCATTCGCCTGGCATCAACACTAATATCTGAAGTGTTGTCATATGATGTGAAGGAATCTTGTACATAAGGATGGAGATTATCATCGGGCCGTTCACGTATGGGTCTACTCAGAGAGCACGGCTGAGCTTTTATTGCAGAAAAGGGCCTACACGAAGGATTCATGGCCTGGTCTTTGGGACATATCATCCGCAGGACACATTTCTGCCGGAGACACTTCTCTTGAAAGTGCCAGGTAGCCACCTTTTGCTTCTGCGGACAGTCTTGAGTGTCTTGTCTCCGGATGTCTTCCGTGATTCTTTGAGCTTGCAAACTGCGGGTCAATGTCTATGATTGTGGAACTTTTTAGCGTTCTGTACATATTGGGACCTGAGATGTTAAAGGTCTTGTTAGAGTTGAGTGAAAGAAATGAAATTCTCGGGCTTCGTGTGGGAAAGAATTTGAAAGGTTTTTATGGAGCAAGTTCGACCATAGTTTAAATTCACCCGAGGTTTAGTGAAAGTCATCACGCCATTTAGCACATTTGCTCTACAAGAAACCTGGTCGAATTCTCAATATCTTTCATCGAGGATAAGAGTCGTTCAAACGATCAGTCTGCGCTCTTCTGATATATAATTGCGAAAACACGGAAGGTTTACATGGTCTTGATCTGACCGATCGACACCTGTTTAGCGTTGCTATTTCGTGGCATAGCTCTTTCTTGTCAATTTCTTCTAAATCTGCTCGATTCAGGTTCTTAATGAGCGTCTCGATGATAGTCCTGGTACTTATTTGTGTTTGCGACTACAGGAGGGAACTCCAGGAAGAACTCGGAGTAGATCTTCCAAGTGATGCGTTTGAACTCCTTTTTACTTACAAGCAGAATGAGTAAGTTTCATATCTTGTCTTGAAACTCGCTGTCCATGATTGCCACTCATTTGTTATACTGTGGTTCCTTGTGAAAAATTTTACACCTTCTTGACATCTACTTTGGTTCGTGATAGTATTCTCAATGACGGAACATTCATCAACAATGAGTACAATGATGTGTACCTCGTCACTACGCTGGAGCCCATACCTCTGGAGGCCTTCACTCTTCAGGTATCTATGATGCTCCATGTCTGTCCTTATTTGGCCACTTTCCTTGCAGTACGGAAGCGAAGCATACGTGACAATTTTGTCGACATACGTGACGACAAAATTGTCACGTATGTCGACGTGAACTCTCTAAGCCAACGGAAGATGTGGTAGCATTGCTGGATGAATGAGCACACTTAGAGGAAATTCTAAACACTGCAAATTCTGTTAGAATACTGTTATACCATGCATGGACGAATCACATAACTGCATAAAGTAGAGTGAGGGCCAATTAGCCCTAAGTGAGGATAACTAGCCGCTCCCATAAATATATATCAAGATATCCAGACAAGAAAGATCTCACATCACTTCAACGCAACTCTCGGGAAGTTGGTCTCTTTCTTTCAGGAATTCTCTAGATTGAAATGTTTTGATCCAAAAGCTCCGGCTGAAATGTAATACTCGACCTTTTATAGATTCTGAAAGACAAGATGTTATAACACAATTGAACTGGACACAGTGGTGACGTACGTGTAGTAGATACCATTGGTTTCAGTCAGACCGATCTATTTTTCTATAATCTAATGTTGAAGATGTCGATGAACTCCCATGTACTTATTCTGTCGATGAAGTATCCAACTGAAGCGTCCAGTGATAACTGATCTTACAATCGACAGTTGAATGCTTACGCTGGTTTGGATCCCTTTCAATGTAGGAGTCCGAGGTGGTAGACGTCAAGTACATGGGTTGGAAGAATTACAAGGAGGTCATAGCAAAAAAAGATCCTGATTACGTCGACTACGAGCTGGATGGTGGATATGGCCTACTGTTTCAAACCATCGAATCTAGGTTTGTTCTTGCACTCATGTTACCTCGCCATGTCCCGAAAATTTACCTAGAGAGAAAATATAATATACTAGGCATGAAACCGGAGAAGCTACATTGAAGAATACCAAGTAAGAACCTTCAAAGAGTAGAGAGTGGTGTTTTAAGGCTAAAGTGTAAAATTTAAAAGGTGGAACTATCGACGAAAGGTATGCAAACAACGACAATGGGGTCAAATAGACAGAGATGCAAATATATGTAAAGGTTATATTTGACTCACACTTACATAGAAGTGGTTCTTAATGTCTGCATTTTTAGGTATGATGCAGATCCGAAGGCCAGAATAGCATCTTTGAAGAAGCAACTGAGTCGCTATTCTCCAGTTACCCTTCGTGGAGAGGTAAGCAGTGAGTTTGACTGTCTGGTAAAGAAGATAAGCTTAAATGTCAAAATTAACGCCTAGTAGGCCTAGCCGTTCAGGTTCTACGTACAAGAATAAGAAGCTGAGGCAACAGTTTGAGACCAACACGTATCTGGTTGATTGAGCATGAGCCGAAACTATTATCATGTTTGTGTGGAATCTGGTCTTTTGCAGCTTTCAGGATTAAGTGAGGGAGATCTTTTTGCATTGGTCTACACTATACGGGCAGCCAAAATCCTTGAGAAAATTTTCACTGAGCAGGTACAGGAGTAGTCTGCATTGATTTGATAGAGTGTGTTCCAATCTTCGGTTGTTGGAAAACATGATCGTAATGTCTGCTGACTGCCCACTTTACTTCATTCTCCTTTCATTACCATTATGATCAATGAAAATCTAGACCGCCAGCTATACGCTGCAGCCCTCGCGCTATGTATGCATACTTTGACACGGACGTAGATTACAGTCTTACACTCTCGTTGTGTAAATCAGGAATGGTGCGTCAATCCCCAGTTGAAGTCTTGGCTTGAAAAGAAATCTACAGCTTCTGAAATTGACAAGCTTAAATATGCCTACTACATGATCAACAAAAGTCCATGGTCAGTACTCACTGTGCAGCTAATTTACTCATGATTTTGAGAATCAAGACCACTTTTTGCCCGTACTCAAAATATATGTAGGGTTCAAAAGTCTACACCTCAAAGACTCTTCCACCGTTTCTCAGAAAGAGTGAATATGCACTTTCAAGTTTCATTGTTTCTATAGCTACACTATCTGACTAAGTTTCCTGTCTGAAGGTCTATTTTGGACGAAAACGAGGCATTCCTTTCAACTGCAGACTCCGCTATCATCTTAGTGGAAAATGCAGTCAAGCCTGTCTCCGGTTGGAAAGGGCTCGAATATAAAGCTGCTTTTCCAGTACATAAACCTCCAGTTGCGAATTTTTACCCTCGCGACATGGATACAAAGGTGAACGATTGTCTAAGTTGTGTTGCAAAGGCAAACTCTGTTGGGCCTAATTCTCAGATCATGGAACGGTTTTCTTCTTCTTCTTCTTTGAAGGGATTTGGCACGTGAATAGGTCGGCGAAGCACGTAGAGTAAATGTTGTTTGTTTCCCTGCGGCAGGAGTTCGAGCTTTGGAAGGCAACTCTGAGTGCCGAGGATCAAGCAAAGGCCGTTGACTTTTTTACTCTCATCCGCAGATCTCAGCCAAAATTATGTGATCTCCAGATAGTCCCGTACTCGGTTGAGTATCTTCACAATCTTAAGCAGGCAAGTGCTTTGCTGGACAAAGCCGGAGACTCTGCATCGACACCAAGGTGCTCATAGATTCAATCCACTGGCCTTTTCGAGAGATATTAAAACCTCAGAATGTTGTCAAAGCCTGTACACTGTCTCAGAAGTCTTGTATAGCGATAGCGGTAGTGTTGTAGGTTTTACAGCTCATGTTGATTCTTCATACAAAATGCTGTCACGGAAGACTTCTGGAGATCGATTTCTCATCGAAGATAAAGTTCAATATCATTTTTTCGACTTCGATGTTTGAGGACTTGTAGTACATCATCGTGGGATCTAATTATTGATGCTCGCTTTACAGTTTAAAAAAGCTGCTCAAATCAAAAGCAAAGGCATTTCTGTCAAACGATTACTACGAATCTGATATTGCTTGGATGGAGCTGGTATGTTCTGTTTCTTCCAAACCCGATTTCGAATCTTACAGATTATTTTATAAATGATGGTACTACTTATGTACCTATCATGAGGGAACTGTTCTTTGACAGTGTGTAATCCTCCTCTTTTCTCTATTCCCGTACATTCCATACATTCCGTCATCGCCCAACTTCATCTCGTTTTGTCTCATACCTCTTCATGTGCAACGATTTGATTCACTTCACGACCGGTTTCTGATTGTTCAGGACTCACAAGTTGATGTGACCATTGGTCCGTATGAAACATACGAGGACGGTCTCTTTGGCTACAAGGTAAAATTCTTCATGATGAACATAATTTAACGTACCTCTCATTCAGTGAACGTGTTTGGATAGTGCGATTTTCTGCAGCAATTACGTAGGCTTTTTCCTTATTCTTCTATGAGGTACTTGCCTTACACACTGACTATGTTATTGGAAATCAGCAGAGATACTTCTCATGGAGTTGTGTTCTGTGGAATTGATTCTGTTAGACCGAGAACCAAACACCACGAAACTGTCTGGACCTCATAAATCAAAATGGATTTGCAGGCTACTTTCGAAGCTTTTATCGGCATATGTGATGAGGAAGCTACATCGCAGCTCCTCCTCTTTAGCAATCACTTGCAGGTATGTTTGTCATAAAACTTGTATTTCTATATGATTGTGGCTGAGGAGTATCTAATACGTAAAAATGTTTAGCCACGTATTCTAGAATCAGGTGGAAAAAATTGACCCGGAGATGTCGAAACAGGAAATGGAGAACAATCTTCCTATGGCAGCTGAGTACAAGTCAACGAATGTCAAGGCTTCTCCAATTCGCGTCATCAATCTTGTTTACAATGCAGGGGTAAGATATCCTGCTCACCTAAATTCCAAATCTCAACTCCCTTGGCCAAGCTGATTCTGAACTCTATAACGATTTTCTTTAATAGTTCTAAATTGTACCACTCAATAATTTGTACAGGACTGCAAAGGTCCACAAACAGTAGCCTTCAACTTACCAAATGACGATCGGATTGTGAAAGAGCGAGGAAGTGCCATGGTTATGATTCGAAATATCTCAGAAGCAAAGTAAGTACGAGAACATCAGACTTCATATATTCTTGCTTGAAAATGCTAGTCATCTGTTAGCTCGCTCACATTTTCTTCAAGCATATCATTGAATGATTTCAACGTTGCCCAGATTCGACTGTATTCTTCTACCGATTGCACGAGTCTGCATCGAAGAATCACAAAGATGTTTCGTGGATTTCAACTCCTTTTTTACACATACAATCTGCCACGAATGTTGCCACGGCATCGGTCCTCACAACATCGCGGTTGGAGGCAAAGAATCAACTGTTCGATTGGTTAGTACGACTTGTTGGTTTCAATGGTGGCTTTTGCAAATTTTACTTGGTAGGCATCACCCGCGCCGGTGGCTGTCATTTGTATATGACCAGTAAAAAAAAGCCTAAATTTTACCTTCTTTTTTTGTGTGTTCTTCTTTCCGAAAGTATAGGCACGGACATATACTGTGCTAACTGTGTGATGCTGACGAATTACAGGAACTTCAAGAACTTTATTCTGCTATTGAAGAAGCGAAAGCTGACATAGTTGGTCTATGGGCCCTCCACTTTCTTCTTGACAAGGTCAGTTGTAGCCGGGAGAATGTGGTGCTAGAATGGTGAAAACAACTGAGTTTGAATGTCCGGCACTCGTGGGCCTTCATAGTACACCCTTGTTTCGGGATAAGGTTACAAACTTGTGTTGAAGTTGCTTCTGGAATCAGTGCAGTTTAGGACTGTTGGCTGAATGGTGTGGGCAAGTTGACAGGCTTGCAAGAGTTTAGTTTTTGAAACTCGTTTGTGCTACTTTAGACGAGAAGGAAGACTGCCGGATCTGATCGGATCGGGAAGTTTTCAATTTGATATCATTGTTTTGTATCTTGCAGGGCGTTCTTCCCCAAGGGAAGGAAAAAGCAATTTATGTTTCGTTTCTTGCTGGTTGCTTCCGATCTATACGCTTCGGACTGGAAGAGGCGCACGGGTACGTTCTCGCTCCAGTAGCCGATTTTCAAGGTGCCTTAAACTGCAGATGGGTGTTCCTATCTGATTTCTTAGCTGAAATGTACTCGGGTCCAATCACACTCTGAACTTTGCATCGCTGAGGATTCACGAGTGCAGGAGAGGACAAGCGCTCCAGTTCAACTACATCCTAGACAAAGGGGGCTTCGTCGCACACGAGGATGCCACGTTTTCAGTAAATTTTGATAAGGTCAGTAATTTTTTTGGCGCGTGCTAGCATCTGGTCTAGATCCTCACACCATGTCGAGTGCCATTGCACCAAGCGCTTGTCGAAAGTTCGAACATGTAGTTCCGGTTTTGTCTAGGCTGAGAGTTAGGTTGTGTGGGCGTATGGACAGGTGAGGGGGGCCGTTGAGGATTTGAGCCGAGAAATTCTCACTATCGAAGCACAAGGCGACAAGCCTGCTGCCCTTGAGCTGTTGACCAAGTATGCGAAGCTCACGCCTGAGCTCTCGAGAGCTTTCGCTTCGCTGGAAAGCGTGCAGGTATCGTATGTTGTTTCTCGTACGTCAAATATTTCAGATCTTTGCAATGGACCAGACATTCCTTCCTGGTCAGTTGGATTCTCTAGAGATTCTCATCCTTTTGCCCGCAATATTTAAATGTCAGGTTCCCGTGGACATTGCCCCGACCTTCGATACGCTGAACAGTGCTGCTTACTTGAATGCTGGAAGGCGCATCGACTGAAACCGACCGACCCACCAGAGACAACGCTTGCAGAAAAAGACCATTGCTTGATGAAGAAACTTGAGGGGATACTAGCCTGGGGACCAAATTAAGATCTTTGCTCAGCGCGCAAGGCTGAACTCTGAGGCTGGGTTAGACCCGTCTAGAGGAAGTCTCTACTTGAAGTATCGCCCTGCTATGCTGACAGGGATGGATTAAATACTTCAGGGTGTTTGGCAAAGTACACTTTCCTGTAGCCGTTCGGACATCGTAAATACTAATGCAAGAGAATTCACCTTTTTGGAGCTCCGGTTTATAATTTGGGTCCATGGAATGGCAGGACATGCGAACAGTATGTTTCTTCAAAGCTCTGAACACTTTTGATTGTAACAAACCACTCGGACTTTATGTGCACATCGCCGTACCAGAGCAATTTGAAGGAAAAGCCCTGTCTTCAAATAAAAAATGTGCATGCAAAGCCATGAGAAACAATCTCAACAGTCTGGACGAGGATGCAATTTAATCTGACATTCGGGAAAAGTGGTCCACTTCAGGTCCAGTTCAAAATCGTACTGAAGAGATGCACTCAGCACGGAGAATCTGGATAGAGTCCAAAGTTGACTACACTTGCGGTGGGCAACAGACATGATCACTGCTCGAACATGTAATTATGATGCATAGCGTGCGTACATTTGTCGATCGTATGTGAAGCTGACAAAAATCATCTATTGCTAATCCTGCGCGCGGGGAGGAAGATCGACAGAAAAAGAACCCATCCAGCGCCTCAGAGGGTACACGCGTTTATCCAGGTATAATTTGTCAATCTCATGTCAGTGTATCTGACAGACCTCTGACGAGCTTCGGTGGTGATCATGTGCTGTCATCGACCAGGAGTGGTTGAAGGGTGGCCCAGGCGGCACCGAATAAACAAGTTCAAAAAAAGGTCCGGAAAAGTCCCAGACATGAGGAAGAAGCAAATGGAAACGACACACGCCATTATCGTGTACTTGCAACTGGATACTTAATATGGTAATAATTGCAGCGAGAACCTTGTAAGATGGCGAGAGTAGTAACCCATCGGGCTCTGTTGACACAACATCCGAGAAGGAACAGTGATCTTGCGTTGTAATCCAATGATCTCGTTTTGTATTCATTGCACTGCCCGGGCCATACTGCCCAGAGAGGGCTCATCCTAGAACACTCCCTCTTCCTCGGGTAGAAACAATCCGAGCGTGTATAAGGCTAGTAATACGTATTGTATTTTTCAATGTCAACTGTCTTGTCTTGCACAATTCCTGGCAGAGTAGCCATGTGTGGAGTAACTGCTGCATACTTCACATGTACCCATCTCCTGCGACTGCAAGCCTGTGGCGGAAAGGAACGAGTAGGGGGAGGTGACTTTGAGAATACTCGTGCGATACGGGCTCTATTCTTTCATTTTGAAAGTATGACTCGCACGAGCAACAGGGAGTGGAGTCTGGAGGTGTCAGTAAAGTACTTTTCGCAGGACTTTCGCAGATTTGAAGTCGGGAGAGTACTTGCAATACATTACATGTTTGGCGTACGTTATCGTGTCATATTCTTTAGATCACATGTAAATAAGACATTACTTGATACTCTTTACCTCTTCCTTCGTACATACAAGTTTACTTGTGTAGTTCAGATTCTTTGCAGTTACTCTGTAAAATGTAATCTGCAGCCTACACCTGCAAACTCCGGATATTCTTCGTGCACCAAGGTGTACTTCCCACTGAAATACTCCTGTCCATAGGCCCTTCTCACCCATTTCTCTTTATCCCTTCTTATTTGGTGGATCTTCCCTTCCTTCTGCGAAATATAACTCGATAACGACTCTACGCTGGCGACTGTCAGAGCTGGTCGAGTGCTCTGTCACAAAAGTCTGCAGGCTTCCTCGCTCCTTCCGATACACGTCCTCGGACCCTGCATCAGTCTCCGCGTTGCATGCTTGGAGAAATCCCGCATTCGCAGAGTGCAGGCAATTTTGAACTTGGAATCACAGACTGTACCCCACTGACAGGAATTTTCAACTTGCATGCTGTGGGTCAAAGCGACCTACGCCAGTGGTGAGAGCACAAGCACATAGGGACGATCGTAGGGCGAAGGGTGAAGGTGAAAATTGGGAAGTAAAGACAGAGAGCAGTTCGGCCGGTGGACCTCAGATTCGTCGTATTATTCTCCCCGGCTTGAACTGGAAGATCCACACACACAAGATCTTGAGAACAGGCGAGAGAAGGTAGAGTGGGATGTGGAAGCGCATATGCGCGGCAGGCAGAGACGACCCAGGAAGACAAACTACGTGTCGACTGAGTCAAATCAAGTCAGCGAAATTCATGCTGTAAAGAAGACAAAACTTCCGTAGGCCATGGAAATAATGTCAGCCCGGGTTCGCACTGACCTGAACTCTGACTGCGTCTGACAAGAAGAAACATAAAATTTCCGTGTCGGCGGAGACAGAGTCTGAACAGGAGTTGATCCACTCCAACACGTGTTGCAATCGAGCGCGTAGACTTTACTGGTAATTACAACAGGCAAGGCGAAAAGCAACAAGAATTTCAGAATTTGTCCTACTATCGTCAAACGGTAGTGAATCATCAGCTATGTCGTCATCTCTTGTTCTACTCTGTAGAGATTTCTAAAAATAACGCTCCATCCTCCATCAGCTGCTCTTCCTTAGAAGTTTCATTCTTTTGCGAATTGGTATATAGTTGATGGGGACTGTTTTCAGATCCGACTCGTCAACTACCACAAAACCTTACTCAATTTAACATCTTATCGTGATATCCTCCTACTGACTACTGACTGAGCTGCAGATTATCTACTTGAGACGCCTTACCTAAACTTGATATCAATATGATACATAATACAATGGTGTGAGTGGCAGCAGCAGCTCGTTGCTACCTCTCTATAGCTTGCTCGCAGGCAGGCAGGCAGGCTGACTGGCCACGTTAACTCTTAGCAAAACCGAAGCCCTCTGTGAACCATCCTTTGATTGAGCCTTCGAACTTTCACGATCAAGGTGGGAAGCATCGAACCGAACCCTCTACTACGTCCCAGCAATGTAGACAATATTTTCTCTCGTGGCCGATTTCAGTAATAAGGCCGCTGATCTGAGGGCGCCAACGTTGTTGTTGCAGTTCGAGACTCCACCACGTCCAAGGAATGAGGATCAGCCAAAGAGATGGTAGTCTGTAAGACGAAATCCTAGGTCGTTCTTCTATATCAGGAGCACATACTTATGGAAACAGGACTGAGGACAGCATAAGGGAGCGAATGCCGCTAAAATTCATTTACAAACGGCGTGGACATGTTGAGTTGCTCGAGCTCAATGTCTAGCTCCCGTGAGGACGTTGCCATGTTGATACGCACGGAAGGCATGCACCCGACCCCACAATGCTGAGGCGCTTGACAGCATTGGCTGTGATATCCCTTGGCCTCCAGCTGTGAATACCAACCACGGCAGCAGAAGCACAGTTTGTGCGTTCATGATCCACCAAGCTGCATCAATCAGTGAAGGAACGAGCAAGGCCTACCATAGCTTAGAAATGTCATTCATTCACTCACTCATTCATTCAATCCATCCCATCCACACACCCATCGAACAACAATTCACAGCAAACCAGAGCTCTTATCGGCCCCGCTCTGATGCGAGATGTTCCAAGAACCCACATCCTTTTCAATACTCATCATCGTCGACACAAACTCGTAATTCACCAAGCTCCCCGAGAACGAGAAAGAACTCGAGGAAGCCGGCGCTGCTAGACTAGATCAAAATTGCGCACACGCACACGAGAGAGGGTGCATGCACAGACCATCTACAGATCAGCTACACAAAAGAAGAGGACGACCACACCTTTTTCGATGAAGGTTTCCTGCTGAATATTCTAAGCAATTTGCCTCGTTCCAGCCGCTCGAGCAGGCGCCGCGAGCCGCTGACATCGCCTTCGGCCAGGGAGCGCAGATGCAGGCAGGCGCCGGCGGCCACCATCTGCTTGCGGCAGCGCGCCGTGCCAACGAGAGCAGAGAGCGCGGCGATGGGGAACTGCTTGGAGACGGTGGTGTTGCGCACGTCGAGCAGCTGCACGAGGCCGGCGATGCCCTGCTCCTCGTGCATGAACTCCTTGCAGTTGCTCTCGACCTGCAGCAGGCTGGCCAGCGCTTGCGCCGAGAACTCCTGCGCCGAGCTCGTCTTCGCCTCCAGCATGCGCACCAGCGGCGGGATGATGCCGGCCTCGCCGAGCGCTCTGCGCGTCTCGCTGGTGCAGGCCAGATGGCACACGGCCTCGGCGGCCGACTGCTGCGCCGTGAGCGGCCCCGAGCGCAGCACCGTCACCAGGCGCGGCAGAAACCCGGCCTCGATGAGCGAGTCGGAGTTGGCCGGGCTGGCCGCGATGTTGCGCAGCGCCTCGACCGTGATCTCGCGCGCCCTCGGGCTCGAGGCGCTGTCCAGGTAGCGCAGCAGCGGCTGAATCCCGCCCTCCTTGGAAATGGCCTGGCGCATCGAGTCGTCGCTTAGCGCCAGGTTCTGCAGCGCTGCGGCCGCGTGCTCCTGCGCTAGCGCTGTCCCTGAGGTGACGAGGTTGATGATGATCGGGATTGCGCCCTCCTCCGCCACGCTCGTCCGCAGCTCCACCACTCCGGCCAGGTTCCGGATTGCGCCAGCGGCTGCGGCTTGCGCCCCTGGCGTCCCGATGCGACAGAGCTCGATAAGCGCCGGGATGCCACCATGAGCCGCGACGGCGCGAGCATTCTCCGCTGTGTAGGCGAGACCCTGCAGCGCCGCGGCCGCCTTCTCCTTGGCCAGGGAGCTTCCCGACTCCAGCAGGCGCACCAGCGGCGCAATGGCGCCATCGCTGACCACCAGATGCTCGCAGCTGTCGTTGAGCGCCAGGCTGCAAATGGCCGCCGCCGCCTTCTCGCGCAGCGAGGGCAGCGAGACGTCGAGCAGGTGCACGAGCGCCGGGATGCCGCCCTGGCTGGCCACGAACAGCACGTTCTTGTCGTCCTCGTACATGAGGTCGACCAGAGTGTCCAGCGCCTTCTGCTTCGACTCAGTGTTGCCGATTTGCAATCGCGCCAGCAGGTCGCGGATGTTCCAGCGCATGGCCTCGCGGCTCGTCTCCGGAGTGGCCAGATTGGGCGTCACCGGCGCCTCCTTCAGCACGCCGCTCTTGAGCATCAGCTGCCCGTCGTGGATGTGCAGGTCGAGCTTGGCCGCCAGCGCGTCCAGATTGCTCTGCATCTGCAGCTTGCCCACGTAGCTCAGCTCCGTGCACTTCTCCACCAGCGCCTTCGCCTCCTCCAGGCTCTCGACGATGGCCTCCAGCAGCTCCAGAATCAGCGCGTTCTGCATGAAGCACGGCGTCGCCGCCAGCTCTGTCAGCAGCGCCGGCAGCTGCAGCAATCGCCCCCTGATCGTCTTCCATCTTCCCAGAAATGCCTTCACTCCTGATGCATCCGCCCCCACAATGTTCGCCAGCTCTTGAGATCGTTTCAACCACGTTTCTGCGCTTCGCGATTCAGCGTTGGCCGTCGCCCTTCGCTGGTCTACCTCGCCGGACTCAAAAACTACCATAGTTTGCTCCCTGCTTGATCTCCGCTGGCAGCAGCAGCAGCAGTGGGAGGAGGATTGTGCAGCGCGGCGCTCTGATGGATCAACAGGCAAATCACCACAGATCAGACCTCCGGATGTCAGCACGTGCATGTCATTTCACCACAAACTCTGCCGCATTTGACGATCCCCGCACAGAGAAATACAGAAATCTATCCCGAAATCTATCCTCCGACACACGAGTGCTGATTGCAGTGCATGGGGACGAACCGGAGTGCACGACAAATTTCGAAACTTCCAGACAGCAGAGACGAGTTGGAAATCGAGGATTTTCCTTCGACACGACAAGTCAGACATTCGAACGGTGTCCGCTCTGAGCGAAACGTCGTGGTGGAGTGAGTGAGTGCTGATAAGGGGGCACTCACTCTCGAGGAGAATGCGATGTAATTTTCATAAGGCTAAGCATCTTCGGCACACGAGGAGGAGGATAATGACATTCAGAGGAGAAAAACACAAAGGAAGACGTGGAAATGAGGTCCGTGGTATCGGCCAGACGACAAGTATCAAACCGCATTGGGAAGGTAAGGCTCGAAAGTCTGAGTGAGTGGCGAACACTGACCAGCTCAGAGAGTGAGACTGAAGATCGTGGTTTGATGACCATGGCAAAACTTTGTCAAATCAAACGCGTTTCCTCCTCCACGCTTCTGATCCATCGACCGTCTGTCTCCAATCAAATCACGCAGCAAATACTCGCGTGCTCTCTAGCCGCAAGCCATAATTCTAGTCCTCTCCTGCACTTTGACTCTCCATCGACAGACAGACATCGTCCACTGGGCAGACAGACGCGCAGACATTTCAGGTCTCCCTGGTCTTCGTCCGTCCGAGGACCACCATTGTACTTGCGCAGCTTCCGTGCTCCCTTAATCGCTTCGCTTCCCTTCCCTTCCCTTCCCTTCCTTCGCTTACGCTGTTGAATAGGCTGATGAGACGCAGAAGGATCAAGAGAACGTATTCCTCGTACAGGCCAAGGAGAGCGGGAGCACCAGGTTCTGGAAACGGGGGACCAGTATTCAAACTCGACTTCTGCACAAGTGGCTGCTGCTGACACTTTTCGTCCCTGTCAATCAGGAAGTGATCAAGGCAAAGCTAAGGACAAGTCAGGCCCGACTGCAAGCCCCTCGCCTCCGGACGGACAAAAGCGCTTGGCCTCGGCGCTTCGTGTCTTCTCTTGTATCCTGGAAGAAGGAAGTTTGGGTCTAGGCGACGAGAGCTGCTCATACCCTAAAGCTTCGGGAGGAGTGAGTGAGTGGGTGAGTTTGTCTTCCTCCCTATTTTCCTTCCTTCAGCTGCTTCAACCGCTGCTGGCTCTCCTCCACCTGTAGGCAGCAGCAGTACACTTCAGCTGGCCATAGCTTCCACCCTCCATCCCATTCCCCGTCCCCTTCTCTTCCTTCCTCTTTTCTCTTCTGCCAGACCCGAAATCAAATCGAGCTCTCGTCCCGTCCCCCTCTTTCGCTCGCTCTCTCTCTCTCTCTCTCTCTCTCACTCACTCACTCTGCCATGCGCCCCCTCTGCCACAAAAAGCACCCCGCCTCTGCCTGTCTGTCTTTCTGTCTGTCTGCTCTGCTACGAACCGTGCACCACTTCAACACCACCCCCTCCTCTCTGCTCTCTGCAGCTCTCCTTTGCTCACTCTCCCCACCTGCAGCTATACTCTACACTCTTCCTTCATTCCTCCCTCCCTCTCTCTCTTTCCTTCTCACCCCCACCCTCGTTCTCGTGATCTAAACAAACAAACAAACAAACCAACCAACCAACCAACAATCAAACAAACACAATATCGCTCACAGCATCAGCACCCGTCAGTCAGTAGCAGTCAGTCGTTGGCCTACGCCGGGTCGGGTCTCGTATGAATGAATGAATGAGAGATATGCTTGATTGCTGATGATGACTCACTGGCTCTCTCTCTCACTCTCTCACTCACTCCCCGTATGACTGCGTCGCAGCTGCTGAGTAGAGAGCTCGCTCCATGCACTGTGGACCACCTATGGGCCGAATCTTCGGTTTGGTTGGCTCGAGGCGACGAGTTCAGATCAGCATCGATTCATTCATTCGGTCAAAAGGCGCATGTGCGCTCGTAGAGCTTCGTATAGGGACCGGCAGGCAGAGACGGATGGATTAGACGGACGGGAGGACTAGAGCGCCGGATGGGTTCTTGTAGGCTCGTAGTCCGTCCGTCCGAGGGCCGGGCCGGGCAGGGCAGGGCTCCAATCTGGGGCTGCCATGGCTCCCACGGCCTCATGGGCTCGGGCTTCGCTTTGCGTCGTCGCCCTCGTGGCTGCTTTCGCGGCTACCTATCATCTACCCGCAATTAATGATGCGGGCAGCACGGACAATCCCCGGCCCCGTCGTCATCAGCTGCATCACGGCCGTGGTGGCGGCCCCAGGTCCCCTCTCTTGATTCCCTATCGGATCTCCACTCGCGCACGCCCATTCCTGTTTCCATCCGTCCGGCACCCGGAAACGCCAACTTCGGGTGGAAGGAAGGAAGGAAGGAAAGTCGAGCGTCGGCTCGCATGCACGACCGACTGACTGACTGACTGACTAACTAACGAAATCTGATTAGAGGACGATTCACTTCCGATCATCCATTACGACGCGTGACTGGACCAGCCGGTGCCGGGGCCATGGTTCTTATGCCGTCGCGAGCGGAGGTTTCGCAGAGGTCGGAAGTTTCGGCCTTGTGTCGAGCGGGGCGCTCGATTGTGTGCGGCAGACACGACGAGCTACCGCCGCCACCGGGTGGTGGCAGGCGGATCGTCATCTTAAGCATGCCGTCTTAAGGTGGGGATGCACTTTGTGTTCAATGTGTTGCAGATCAACTTTGGGATCGATGTATCGATGTATGAGAGGGTCGATCGATCGATCGATCGATGGACTGAATGATCTGGAGTTGGCAATTGGACTTCATTTGACCCCTTGTCTTGATGGCGAGATCAGTGGACACAGCGATGCGCAGAGCAACTGCTTTTGGTACAGGGCTCGGAGCGTACGACACAGGAAAATTGAATGGAACATCACTGGAGCAGACGAGCATGGCTGCGAGCTCTGCAAGTACATTGTGCCGCTGGCGCACAACTGTTGGTCGTCGACACAACCGTGAAATTTGGAGTGATTTATGAGGCGATCTGCTGCCCAGGTTAGCATTTTTTTAATAGTTTTGTACAAGTTTTGAATTCGGTGTATTTCGTTCGTGGACATGGATGGAATCTTTGCAAGTCTCGAAATGGTAGAATGAATGAATGTGCATAGTCTAACAACTGAGAATGACATCATAAGTGCGGAATGAGAACTGTTTTCTATATTCCTAAAATAATCAAACTAGTCTCGGACAAGCAATCGAGTGATAAAGATACGGAGGCCGACTTCAGATGTGTGTGAGGAATTTCACCTAGTTGTTAGCATTCATGGCTGATGGCACTCTTTTTGTTGCAGAGATTTACTGTTTTGCTGTTTTCCTCCTCATTTTTTTTTTGTAAGAACCTGACGTTCGCTTGAATTGTTGTTCCAATTATGTGTACAGGCTGCGGTCAAGGTTGGTCCTCACTCCGAGCGGATCTTCCTGCAAACGTCAAGTGCATTCAATGTCCGGAGTGAACTGAAACATCGAAAATAGTTTTTAAGATGAAAGTGTATGAAAAAAGTGCTTATCCCATCCATAAGCATCCACAACATTTATCTTTACACACATCGAGCTACGAAAGGAGAATTGTGCCCTTCTGGTGGACAAGGAAAATGTGCTTTGGCTTCTGTTCATCGCCTCTTACTCATTCCTTTTCAGGATGTATGTCCCCAAAAGCCTCTTTCTCGAACATTCTAAAGTTTTCACATCATCTGCAACACACACCACAAACCGATGATGAAGGTGCGATGTTTCAAATTGGCCCATTCAAAAGCGCCATTTTCAGTCGAGTATAATAATAAGCGAAAATTTTAGAAGCCGCATGTAGACATCATCATGGAGCCCTCCCCACCTCCCTCCCTCCCTCCCTCCCTCACCCTAAACCCTATGAGATTCAAACTCATGTCCAAACAACAACATGAAGGCTACGAGCAGGACGACATCAGAGGGAATATTTAGTTTCATACGACTCTCAGCCACTTTAACCTCGACGAGTTTCAAAACAACTCGTCGGACGCCACAAGGAGACCACAACAATGATTCTGATCTTGGAGGATAAGTTCACCGAGCTGGTTATCCACATTATGAACCCTAGAATTTCAAATCACATGGTTGTGAGCTTAGGTCCTTGGTCTAACCTAGAACCTCTAGAACCTAGAACCCTAGAACCAGCATATAGCAATATTCTTCTGTCCAAGCCAAGTTTGAATCATCTGCTTCGACTTCGTCAACAACATTTGTACCTTTGTTCTCATTCTCGACATTTAGCCTCTTCGAGGAAGCAAACCGACTCGGAAATCGCTTTTCCAACCACGGGAAAGGTAAAGGTCATTTCCCTTCCCAGATTCAAAGAATGCAAAATCAACCCCATTACCAGCTTTCTCTGAAGACGACCCTCGAACGACAAATTCTCTATTGATTTCACCATAAAATCATCATTACCATTTCTTCTTGCACGATAAACCAAATTCAAACTCAATTCTCGAAAGATCAAAGCTCGCACGATCAAAGCAAATGTCAAAGTGGGCTCGTGTGTGCTCGCAACATCAAAGACCTGGGCCACAAACTCCGCGGACATAAATCCTCACGAACACCTCCGAGACAAGAACAAACCTGCAGCCCCCGGGCATTCCTATCCCCCGAGTTCTCCGTATGCTGTCCGGAACGCCTCCGCATGTACGACCAGTCGTGCCGCAAACGCGCACCGATGACGGACGGAAACACGACGTAAAAGCGGAGGCTCCAGAGCAGAATTGTCTCCTCCTCCACGTGGCAGGCCGCGGTGGTCGGTCGAGACGACCGCCGTGTTCTGGCGAGCAGGTGTGTCCGCCGCCACAGGCCCTCAAGTTCCCGGTCATCCAGCCCCGGCTGTACAGCGACGGGCAGGTTTCCCGGGGGGAGAGACCAATAACTTCGCCCTCGGAGAGACCCCAGTTTAGGGGCTTTTCAAATATTTCCTTCCGTTGGCAGGTACGGTAGTAACTGCAGTCAATCATCGCGGAGAACATGCTAATGATGCTTAATTTGCCATCGAATCTGATTAATCGAGATTTATAATGCGAAGGCATCGGGCGCGACAGTAGACGTCCCATGACTCCGGGACGAAGTCGTCACCACGTGGTGGCGTCCACGACCTACGACCACGGCATTTGAACCCTCGTCTTTCTAAGTAACTACGTCCTCCTACTATGACTACGGTGCTAAGCAAAACAACAACAACGTCGACGACGACGACGACGACGAAGTGAAGCGCACGGTACATAAAGTCTCTGAAAACCAGCATGATCATCGAATTTTGTTGTTGAATAAAAGTATGCAATGAGACGCGCTCATATTTAAGAGCCTACTTATGGTAAGCCCAACAATTATACAAATGTCATGATTTGTCCGCCGGGAAAGGAACGGGACCTTTGGCCCTTCACCGGGTGGTGGAAACTTCTGGGATCCGGGTCAGAGAAAGTGAAGTATGAGTGAGTGACTGACTTAGTGTACGAAATTAAGAGTACCAGTTAAGCAACATGACAATATTATCGACCAGAGTTAACAATTTTAGTGGTCTCTTCCCGTGCCTACCATTTTATTTCATGTGTTGTACTCCGCCTTGGACCTAAAGTTACCGGCTCGGTTTGCTTTCTCTTCTGTAATCTGAGACGGGGGGGCCAAGTGGATAGCAAAAGAGGATGGGAAGAACCCATCGAGCCGTACAATTCTCTTCCTTAAATTAGTAGATTATGTGAGACGGGTCTTGTGGGTCCTCATTTCTGACTGTATCTGCTCTCTTCGTTTGTTGTGGTTATCTTAATACGTGACTCTCATAAAAACCTGCAAAGTCCTGAGCTTACATAGCACGGCTGAACGTCACAAGGTATCTGGTGTTTATAACCGGCTTAAAATAGAGCTTGCTGCGTCGCCTTCCAGTTGGTCCAAAGTGATTATTTTATATATAAGTATGTGTTTCTATAGATGATCTTACTTGTTTAAGCAATGTGCTGCCAGGGAATGGGAAGTGACTTTTTTTTTGTGGGCTGTGCACAAGAAAGAATGGAATTGTGGTTAAATGTTAAACAATTAAAAGCAGACAAATATCCGAGCTATCAGATTTGCAGGAATCATCTAATGCGAAACAGCTTTACGTAGTTGACATGACAAAGGCGTCCTGGATTCCTCCACTCTCTTTCCTCATTTGTGAGACCGAAAACAGTCAAACTCCTAAAATGAACAGTGATGTAAACTTTATCTCAGATCCTTGTGACCTATGTAAGGAACTGATCAAGCATGGTACCACACACGTATCTGCTCAGATCCTTGTGACCCGGTACGTGTGTGCTTTTAATCTGTACAATATATCTCAGATCCTTGTGAGCCGATAGAACACATGTAAGCTCACAAGGATCTGAGCTGATACATGTGTGGTACGCATGCTTGCTCAGTTCCTTATACCATGTTAAATATTCGTAATTTCGTATATTTATCAACGAGCTTTACCACAGATTTATGACATGTGCACAAAACCAGTTTATCTAGCCCCTACTTTCAGTTAGTCATATCCCTTACTCAACGGTGTGCCCAATGAACTACACTGATAGTTATATTCTTACAGTTGTGCTCATTTATAAGATCAATGTATGTGTTGGAGAATTCCATTGCAGGCCGTGGGATTCACTTGGTAGCCGTCACACGAGGCAGACCAGGTACGCATTGACGGATCATGTGAACGCCATCATCGACAAATTTTTTTAAAGTTCCTGAACATTTCTCTCCAGTCGAAGTCAAACCATACCAAGTACTCGGGGTGAGAGTATTAGTCAGTCTACAACCCAGTGGCTCTAAGTCAGAATTCCTTAAAAGTGGCTTTTGACACTTTTGACTCTTTTCAGTTAATTGTGGCATCCAACATTTATGAAAAGTGTCATTTGTATTGACAAATTGTTGTGGAAGTCTTGAAATCATAAAAAATTGAGCTTATTTCAAGATAACGTCAGTCAGGGTTGTATCTCCATTGTGACTAAGTTAGGTTCCGCCCTCACGTTATATTCATCGGACACCTAAAGACATCGATATCTAACAAGAATTTAGAAGAGTCCATGAACAAACCACCTAAAGACATCGATATTTAACTAGAATTTTAAAGAGTCCATGAACAAACCTTATGATTATTCACCATGAGCATACTCAAAGCACAGAGAGCTAGTCCGTGAGGAGAAGTTTCTGATCTAACGATCAGAAACTTCCAAAATCCACAAGATGTAAATTGTATCTCTTCAAAACCTCAGCCGAAGATGAATGACATCACCTGTCTTCAATCTTACTACAAAGAGAAACTCGGTTTCATAACCATAATATTTAGCATTAGATTTTTTCAAAATCTTCACGGTATATGTAATAAATTTTTTTTAATGAAATTTACATCCATGAGGGAGATTATGCGTTACTTAGATTTTTATCCACGCTCGGCTCAAAAATGGTAAACACGGCTCATAGGTTTAATTGTGACAAAATTGACATTTTTTAATTATATGACATTTGTAAAGAAGTTTGCTCTAAGTGCATGACGGATTATCAAAACGTCATCAATAAAGACATATACTTCTATACGTTTTCATAGTATGCACAAAATAATGTTATGTGCTATAGGTATAACTATTGAGCTATGCGTACAGAGTATTTTAAACAGGGCGTATTCATTCGTTCACAATGAATACGCCCTGTACGATGCAATCCATAAAATAGCAGTAGTTTATGTACTACAAGAACAACAATGCTCTTGTAGCAGGCAAAGCAGCGGACAGATTTGTTTTGAAATGTTTACCCTGTGCTACTATTGGGGCTAGACCTCCCCTATATTAGTTGATGGGTGGTTTTCGGAATTTTCCTACATAAAAACATGGTAACCTTGGATGATCAATCTATCATTGTTTTAATGTTCTCTGTCAGAGCCCGTGGATAAGTTGAAATCATTTTGTGACTCTATGGTTTCAATCTTGCACTTCACATTGAGTGCACATATCCCGATCGCCCCTCGCTGTACAGGACAAAAATCTAACAAATATGTACTTCCACCTCCTTGAATTAACCACGTAAATGGACTGTCACGCACAATGTGGGAGTGAGCTGACACGGTTAGCCAGTCGGTTGGGCAATGGCCTTCTCTAATTGCTTGCACTTTTCACAGTTGCTGGTATCTGTTGTTTCTCTCGGTCTTGCACATAGTGAGAATCGACCATTTTTTTGCAGTCCACTTGGCCCCCCTTTCCACATTCAGAATCGACCGTACTGTAATCACGGTTTATTTTTTATTTTGTTAGACTGGGAAATACAAGAGTAGTGGGTGAGATAGTGGCTTATCACGACAGTGGTTAGATCTCTATGTTTTCTTTTGACTTCTGTTCGGTACCTTTTTATTGGCAGGGGTTGACCTTTTCGGCTTTGTACTTTAGTTGATAGGTTTAGCAACAGGGCCATGAAAAACTCTTAGCATAATATGTGTCCTCTTTGTTAGGTACATATCTGTTTTCGACTTCTTCTCGGATGTACATCTACTTAATGCCTCCCGTGCCATTCAGGAGGCGTGA